CTTTACACCACTGCCACTTAGAACACGTCACAGGGGAAATGGGAGGAAATTTTGCTTAATAGAATAGAAATTCTTGGAAATTGAAATTGGGTAGTCATTTTTGTTAATTTGTTGAATGAGAGTCACTTCTTGCTCATGCTGTTTGATGAACTCACAATCTGCTGCTGATCTCTCGATACATTTTACTGTGTATTCCTGGGCTCCCGCCATGCTACAGCATCTTAACTTTTCCTCTACAGTCTATAACGTAGTAGGTGGAAGCTGTGTTTCTCAGAATGCTTCTCTGCACATGGGTATGCATGCATACAAAATAATTAATATGTACTTCCAGTTTTTAAAAAAATTGAACATTCCAAAAATAAGCTTAAACGCACATACATTGCTATATCAAATTGCATTTGTGCGAGATTAAAATATTATTTTAGATAAAACTAAAAAAGATAATAACAGTCTTATATTGGAAAAATGTTTCAGATCATCATATTAGCAGGTTAAGATAATATGATCAGATGTATTGATAAGGAATTTGATGAGGTTCAATATTTATTAAGTTAAAATTCTGAACAAAAGGATACATCTTTAACAGACAGCAAAGCAATCTATGGCAAATTAAAGGGTGTCCCATGAAAATCACGTTAACTTAAAAAAAAATCAATAAATAAAAACTATACCTTTATCATACTAAAAATAACGTATTAGAAAATTACCTCAAAATAAAAACACTTTCAAATCTTAACACTATAAATGAAAGTATAAAATTCCACTGTGTATAAAATAAGTTATATACACAGCACTCATTTTTTGGGGATAGAAAGACATCATATAAATTCATCTGCCCACAAACATACATATACACATATGTCTATATTTCAAGTCTGTTTGAGCAAGATACCAAGTATATAAACGTGTCAGAGTGGGTATATAAATTGATCAAGTTTTATATCAATTGTTAAGGGTTTTCCCTAAGATTTAAATATGAACATGTTGTAACAGCAGTAGTAAATGATGCCTTCTAGAAAGAGGTAACAGGGATAATAAATATGGCTCAGTGATTTAAAACATGTATTGCTCTTACACAGGACCTGGGTTTGATTATTCTATTACCCACATGGTTTACAATCATCTGTAACTCTCAGGAGACCCACTACGCTCTTCTGGCCTCCACATGTACCAGTCATGCCTATATACACATGCAGGCAAAAATATTCACATGTAAAGTAAAATAAATACATCTTTTAAAAAAAGAAGTGCCAGCCAGGTAGTGGTGGCACATGCCTTTAATCCCAGCACTCGGGAGGCAGAGGAAGGTAGATCTCTGTGAGTTCGAGGTTAGACTAGTCTACAGAGCAAATTCTGAAAAAAGAACAAAAAAAAAAAAGAAAAAAGAAAAAAGAAAAAAGAAAGAAAAAGAAATTACAATACATGAACACAGATTTCTTGTTGGGAAAAAAAACTGTATGATAGAGAAGATGATAGACAGACAGACAGACAGATAGAGATGATAGACAAATAAGATAAATCACTCATAATTCTGACACCTGTGAAAAATCTCAGAAAATACATTTACTTTTCTACATCTTGCAAATACAAAATACACACACACACATGCACACGCCAATGGAAGCATAAAATTTAACATATGCGTTTAGCAATGTGACCATATTTTATACCAATTGATAAATCTATCCCACTGGTCTTATCACCCACATAGCAATTAATTTTCAGTTTCCCAGAAATTATCTAACCAATTGCAAGACATCTAGGTTGTATACAGTTTTTGTCACAAAAATCTTTCAAACAATAATCTATAAAGCTAAAATTGATTTCACATTTCTATTTTTAAGTAAATCAATATGAAATTTGATAAGTATTCTTGAAATCAATATCTGAAAATGTAAATAATCTGAAATCTCTACTACTTTACAAGTCAAAATAAGAGTTGCCATAGAAACAGCAATGGCAGAAAATCAAGTCTGACACAGGATCAAAAAAAGAAGGAAAGAAAAAAAAAATAATGAACCAGTTTATTTCTAGAAATCAGGATTAACTTCATTGGGAGTATGACCCACATTTAAATTTCACTTTTACTATTTCTTCCAAACAAAGTATCTTAAAAACAGAATAAATGCCAAATTCTAATATCAAACCTTACAATACATACACTTTTTTAAATGTAGGAATTGTAGATATTAAATTTCAAATAAAATATTTGCTATTTTATTTAAGAGTAACTGTATAGAGATGATTGAGAATGAATATGCACATCTTTACCTTATAGTATTTCTAGCTACGTTATCTTCTAATCCTGGAAGAAAACATATAATCCTTGTACTTCAGGTGTCTCTGTATGACAAGGAGCAGGACCCATAGCAAATGAACCCAACCAAGAAACCATCTCGGCCTTACTCCAACCAACAAGGCTCGCAGCACAAGCAGCCAGTGCATTAGCATCCTGCCTAGTTTTCAACAACCTTCACGGAGCGTTGAGAATTGTTTGCAGTTAGGGTTTAGTGTGTTGTTGCTGTTTGCTTTGGATTTTGTCTCTCTCTCTTTTTTTTTTAATTTGGTGATTTCTGTTTTGAAGAGGAGTATTGTGGGTAATGTTAGTATTCGGTGATAATCATTAAAGTCTCCATAAAAATAATCTTCAAATGACAGTTACCAGTTGACTATTTGAATCAATTAAGAAACTTTCATTCAAAGTCTTAGAATTGCCAAGTATATAGCTACATATTTGCTAGTACTGCATTGCTATATTTGCAACAAAAGCCAAAATCAAACACAACTGAGTTTACTAACATTTTAGCTCACTTGAAGTACTTTCCTATTGAGAATTAAATATTAAAAGGAAACAAATGGCCGAGCCGTGGTGGCACCCACCTTTAATCCCAGCACTCAGGAGGCAGAGGCAGCTGGATCTCTGTGAGTTCAAGGGCAGCCTGGTCTACAGAGCGAGTTCCAGGACAGCCAGGGCTAGGACTGTTACACATAGAAACCCTGTCTTGAAAAGCAACAACAACAACAACAACAACAACAAAGAAATGAAAATGAATGCCTTCACACATTTTTACACTAGTCTTTGGTTTAGCTTTTGCTATATTTATAATAATTGCTTTCTTTGTTGCTTTTACAAACTACACTTCTAACTGGATTTAAATTTAAAAATTAAAAAACATGTACTTCCTAAAATTAAAGCATTGCATAGTGTATCCTATACAAAAATTGTCCCAAATGACTTTTCACTTTTCTAAGCAATTCTTGTGTGCATTCACATCACACAGATGTGCCTCCCCTGAACTGTCAAAAGCGTCAGGAAGCCTGATTTCTGCAATAAATTGTAAGGTCTTCAGAGAATACCTAGGACTTTCGCCTCGGGCACTGGTACCTCCAGCAGTGCCATCATAAGGAGCAATGTGAAGCTAGTGAGTCTCCGTTTTTCAACACAAACCCAGAAGACTGTGACTCTGGCAAGATGGACGTTAGAATTTTAATCACCTCACTTTACTTAGATCAGCCTACAAGCCACAGTAGTTTTCAGTTGGGCAATCCATCATTTGGGGCATGTGGCCACTCTTAGATGATCCCAGAGTAAGGCTATTGGGGTAAACAGAAGGAAAAATGGGGACTACGGGGACACGGAATGGAATAGAGCGCTTCGCTGGGAAATCCGGCTGGAACCACGCGCCAGCAGAGAAGCAAGAATATGACCTGTGTATCAATTACTGAAGCCTCTCCAGTCCCAGGTGTATACCTGTAATTTTCTAGGACTCGCACTAGAAAGCCCACTCACAGGAAATGGACAAGTACAAACTCCTTTGTGTAATCCTTCCGCTTCTAGTTTTATGAGATTATAATTTCACCCCAGGCATCTCGCTATCTTCTCACTTATTAAAGAGAAGGGAAAGGGGAACGAGGTTTCGTAGCTACTTTTTGAGACGTAGCTTTAGACACACACACACACACAAATGCATATGTGGCTAATTTAGGACAGGTAATTGTGACTTTTCTTGGAGGAGCTAATTCCCACACTTTCTCTTAACCCCTCTATTGAAAGTCTGCATTAAAATTATCTTTAATAAAACTCCTGTTTCCAACCAACCATTCCTGAAATTCTTTTATGCCCCACAAATACAAACTTCAATTTGGTTTTGGTAGAAGTTCCTAAACAATTAAGGGAACTCCTGGGGCTACTAAGAGTGAGTGACAGAATGCTGCCTCTGTCCCCTCACCTTTGACAGATAAGATGCTCTATTGAGATCTTTATAAAATGTAAACATTCTAAGGTTTATTTGTAAATAGATTATCCTGTCAGAGAAAAACGTTTCGATCACTAATGCGAAGATGGTGTCATTAATATTTAATAACGACTTTAATTCTTCTCTGAATGAAATACAGTTACAAAAAAATCAATCCACCTATAAACATCTTGAGAAAATAATAGATGTAGGAAGTGGGGAATTTTTCTATTATACATCTCAGATCTCATGCTAGTAAAGCCTTAACCTTCATTTCAACTCAGTTGAAAGACAGTACCATCCACGCCACAGGACTGCCCTTACGTTTCCTTTTCCACCAGCAGCTAACCATAAAACCATAGCATTGTCATTCTTGGTAGCCTATTGCAGACACATCATATATTTTTTGGAAATTTGGTCCAAGTATGCTTTTACATTCGATGCTGAATTTCGGTGACTTGTCAAAGTTTAAAACAAACAAATATAAAAGTGAATTATGTGACTAGTCAGTGCAAGACTATAATTCCACCCCTTAATGGCGAGTTGTTACTTAGCGGGCTCAACTAAAATCAGAGGGCAGTAAGCTTCCAAAGGCCCGCACTGTGAAATGAGCAATAATGCGCCCTGGAGTTGAAGAGACGGACAGATGTGATCTGTTTCCATGGAGTTCAACATGCCCGATTCCCATCTGGGACAAAACGGAAACGCCTGAGGATCGTTATCCACAGAGGCAGTTCGATAGCCCTGGATTGGCTAGCTGCTGTTTAAGATTCGCTCTGCGTTCTTCGGCTCACCCCCTTTTCATGGCAACATTTCCATCACTCTCACAAGAAGCATTATGTCCCAAGGACAAACCAATTTCACGCAAATGGACAACGTGTTTGCTCTGCGACATTCCCATCAGCGTCAGTGACACACAAGGAAAACCTGCCTTGTCGCTTCCTAGCAGAAAGGGGAAGCAGACTGCCACTTCACGCACAGCGTGACTTCTCGGCTATACCATTTCTTGACTCACTTGCGTTTGCCAAAAGACAGATGCACTTGCCATCTAGGAGGAGTTGGCAGGAAAGCAGCGGCCATGGCACAGCCGTGACTAGCTGGTCCGCCATACTTAGCAGTCCGCCACGTAAGTAAACCAGCTGCGGGGCTGGGTAGAAAAGCAGGGTCTAGGGGTTGCCATTTAAACACTCTACCACGGCTCACATTTTTTATTCTTGTCAATACCTCTCCGTGGTCTTGGCCTCCACAGCTGTAGAGCGAGAGGCTGCCCAGCTCCTCTCCAAGACCCTGCTAATGTTCCCGGAGTCAAAAAATGAGATTCGGCACTAATGCTGTCTCTTGTCTTAGCCTGCACCAAGCCATCAATTTCTCTTAAAGAAAAAGATGTGGGGTTGTGGGGTTTCTTCTTTTTTCCCAGCTTCCCATTGGTTGATAAGGTTTTGAGTTTGGGACTAGACCGAGTGCAGCCCACAGGGACAGGAAAGTCCCCATGATATCATGTTTGCCCACTGTTCGTCCTCCTCCTGGTGGGGCCCCACTCGCAGTTCTCAGTTGCAATTTACCAAATGATAAACAAACATTCCCTTCCAAATGGGGAATCAGCAGACACTCCCTTTCAACACTCAAAAAAAAAAAATCATCAAGACAAGCCTAAAGCTTCTTACAAAATTTGATCTGTTTTTGAGTACTAAATTCTTCTGGTAATGATGGAGTATGGCCAGGTACCAAATAAAATTCTTAAACCTTGAATGAGAAGTAGAAGGTACAAAAATGGAATTTTAGGGTTCACAGAAAGATTTGTATAAATGTTAGTGAGACTTTTGAGGATATTTCTGTGAGCTTAAAAAAATCTCTAAATAACAACAGGAAAGATATAAAACTCTACATAAAAATATTGCATTAATTCATTTGAATAATTTTTACCTTTACTATAAAGGACAGAAATTATTCAACACAAAAATTAAACTTGAAGTCAAGTTTACCTTGTTGTCACATTAGCTTTTTCTGTCAACTAGATACAAACTAGAGCTGACGATGGGAAAACAAAACACAAACCACCACCAAGACCCCAGCAGAAAAGAAACTCAACAAGGCTTACCATCTAAGACTTCTCTGACCACAATGGGTTTGAGTCTCCTCCTCTACAGGCTGCTTTACAGAGGTAATGGAGTAGTTACCATATATCAAACTATTTTGGAAAGAAACTCCCACCTGCTACTTCTATTCTTCCAGGAAACTGTTCAAATGTTCCGATCAAACGCTGTACCCGCACTTTCTCCAGCCTTCCCTAAGGTGCCAGAACATCACTTTCGTCCGGAATGCTTCTCGAACCACATCTGCAAGATCCGATGGTGCTTAATGAACGTTACAGGTACTTTGTGAGCTCACAAGCCGCAGAAATCAATTGACGTCTTGCATAGAGAAGTCTTGAGATTGATTTTTTTTTTTTCCAGGAGAGAACCAATTTGAGACTTTAGGAGATGCACAGATGCCAAGGATGCTGAAAAACTATTGGAGTTTAAGAAGAAAGGAAATCACAGAGGTGTGGAACTTGCTCTTCTGGACTACTGGATTAGCACTCTGTGCTATTAGATTAGGGGTTTCCTCGGGGAAGCAACCTCTTAGACAAGGATGCTTTCCAGGAATGGCTAAAGGCAACTCTCCAAGCATGGAGAAGGGGCACTGTTGGAGGGTTTCCCCACAGTCTTGCATTTAATGTGGACTACTGCATTTTTAACAATGTGAGCCTCCAGGGAACTCATTCTTTTTTAAGGAAAAAAAAATTGACCTAATGCTTTGGCATTCCATACAATGCATGTTGACTCATTCTTACGGCACCTGAAAATTTTGAATTGTGGCAGGGAGTGTAACTCAATGTTAGAGAACTTGTCAAAATGTACAGAATGCAAGACCAAACTCCAGCACAACATCAAAAGGGAACGAAAGGACTATCAGAATGGATCTGTTTGCTCAATAAAGAAATTTAAACATCATCAAATGTTGTGTGCCATTCTAGGCATTGAGCACCATAGCAAGACATAAAGCCAGCGTCCAGCCTTTCTCAAGGGTACAGCTGCTTGGAGGAAGGTGTGGAAGAGAAAAAGACAGAAAAAAAGCACAGTTTCCCAAAATACTTTGTCTGGATACTGTCACTAAACAATCTTACTCCCAAACTGCAGCTATCTTCTCTCTTACCAAGGGTTCGGGAACCTTCTACTCTTTGCGCTTGTTTCAAGTTCATTAAAAAGTTCTGCATTAATCAAGAGATAAGTAATACAGAGCCTAAAGCTTCTTACAAAATTTGATCTGTTTTTGAGTCCTAAATTCTTCTGGTAATGATGGAGTATGGCCAGGTACCAAATAAAATTCTTAAACCTTGAATGAGAAGTAGAAGGTACAAAAATGGAATTTTAGGGTTCACAGAAAGATTTGTATAAATGTTAGTGAGACTTTTGAGGATATTTCTGTGAGCTTAAAAAATCTCTAAATAACAATAGGAAAGATATAAAACTCTACATAAAAATATTGCATTAATTCATTTGAATAATTTTTACCTTTACTATAAAGGACAGAAATTATTCAACACAAAAATTAAACTTGAAGTCAAGTTTACCTTGTTGTCACATTAGCTTTTTCTGTCAACTAGATACAAACTAGAGTTGTATGTGAAGAAAGAACCTCAATTGAGAAAGTGCCCCCATCAAATTGGCCTATAGGCAATCATCAAACATTTTCTTGTTTGACAGTTGATGTAGAAGGGTCTAACCCATTGTTGGCTCTACTTGTAGGCAGGTGATCTTGGGTTGTATACAAAAAGCAGCTTCAGTGAGCCATGAGAAGCAAGACAGTTAGCAGCATCCCTTGATGGTCTCTGCTTCAGTTCCTGCTTCCAGGATTCTGTCTTGAGTTCCTGCCCTGACTTACTTTTTGGTAGAATATAACCGTAAGCAGAAATAAATCTTTTCCTACCCACGTTGTTTTTTATCATGACCTTTTTCACAGCAATAGAAGGCCAAGTGGGAAATTCTGTCGAGGCTTTGTTGATATGCTCAGTATAGGAACACTTTTAGGAAATAATTATAGGGGACTGCAGGTAAAAAGCACTTGCCACCAAGTCCAATGACCCAAGTTCATTCCTTTGGACTCATATAATGGAAAGATCTTGCAAGTTGTTCTCTGACTTCTACACACCTATATACATGTGGGCACGTATGAGGAGGTCAGAGGACACTTTTCAAGCATGGGTTCTCCTTCCACCATGTGGGTCCAAGTGATCTGACTGAGTTCATCAAGCTTGGGGGTTCTCCTCCCTTGTCTTCTCCCCTCTCCTCTTCTCCCTCTTTCTAGATCCTAAAGATGTGTCTCAGTGTCAAAGTACGCGCCTCGCATGTGCAAGAATCCGGGATTGATCCTCAAAATTACAAAATCAAGTCTAGTCTACGTGAGTGTACAACACTGACCGTGATTACCGTATCAGATACCACTAATTCGATTTCTCAAAGACCTAGTTCAGAAAGCCTAAGATGAAATGATTCTCAGTTGCTGTCTGCTTACCTCTGATCAAATTCTGCCTCCCCCATCCCATTAGAGGTATGGGGGGAGGGGGCGCATACCTTGAGGACTAATTAAACAACATGATACTTTCAGATGCATTTGTATGATAAAAGAACTTGGAAGCAGAATTGTGGCGGTGAAGTAAGCTGAAGCCCCCAAGAACGAACCATCCAAAAAATGATGTAGAGGCAGGAAAACATGAAATACGGCTTCAGATACTCACGGGTAAATGATCAGGTGTGGACAGACTGACACTATCAAGACTCTCAGCACTGTCACAGCTAAAAATGTCATCATCTGACTCCTGCAGAGAAGAGCAGAGGGAGGCGCTGTCAGCTTCTTCAAAGGTCCCCTTGAAAACTCCACTCATAGCTGCATGACCTGCAGAAGGAACGGGAGCCGAGCATTGAAATCTGTGCCCGTTGACTGCATAGAGGACTGTGTCTTCTTGGGGTCGGGTACTCTGAACCACGAACAGCACTCGCTGTAACACTGGAAAGCGTGGTGCGCAATGACACCCTGATTCGCTCTTACTTTTCATTCTCATTCTGGCAATGGTGTCTGCGAGAAAGAGCTCAAATTAAAAAAAATGTGGGATAGGAAAAACGCCGCATGAGGAAATATGGCTTCGTGTTTTCAGATGCCAAAACACAAGTCAAATACATTCCTTTGATTTGTTCTGCTAAAGCATGTACTGTCATTGGCAGAGCCGGAGTTCAGAACAAAATGGATCACTCACTTGCATGCTGTCATACCGGGAGCATGCTGATGAGGGTATGTCTATCTTGTTGGGGATTTCTTTTTTTCTCAGATACAAAGGCATCTACTTTCCTGGGGCTCTTTGTCCATCAAATATCAAATTGGTTGCTAGGAATGGCAATACCTGCGGAATTTAGATGACTTATCTTGTTTCCAGTCAATTCAGCCGAGCCACAGGGAATATTCAAGGGCTGTGCTAAGGATAGCTGAATAGATTTTACACATGACAGACTACAGTCCCCAAATCTTTTTTGCTGGATGAAGCATTAATTTAAACTTCTTCACTCTTTGTGGCAACACAGGCAGGGAGAGTCAGTCAGACGCAGGGAGAGTCACAATTTTAAAAAATTGTTAATGTCAAGTCCGATGAATCATTAAACCACTGAGAGTAACAATTTCTCTGCATCTATAGAGAAAACGTAACCAGGGGTTGCAAACACAAACACCTACAGGGGCAGACCTTCAGGAGGGAACAGGATCAGCTGTGCTAAAAATCATGCAGTCTTCTTCCTTGTCTCTTTTATGCGCTGTTTGTAACAATGCTATCAAGAAATAGGCCTTTTCTAAGGGAAAATGATAGATCACTGCAACAATAAACAGCCTCCCTAACAAGTAGACAGTAGGTGGTGGGCTCTCAGATGTGCTAAATGGGAAGCCGCTTTCCCAGGGCTGCGTGAGAGATGCCTACTTGGGGCTAGGTCTTTTGGCTACATGCTTCCATAGTTTAACCCACTGTAACCTGGTGAGTGCCTTGTTTACATATCCAGAAGCATCATTTTGCACTACTGGACTTTACATTCCACGTACGTTTATCACTTATTGATTCTGGGTACAAAGCTAAAGAAGCCACTTTCAAATTACGCTGTAACTTGAAGCCCACGTTGTACTGATTCAACAGCACAGACCAGAATGATCAGCATCAGTGACTTGGACGGTTGACTGCCTGGGGTATCAAACAACACAGGCCTACAAATGCCCTTAGACAGCCAGGCAATCCTGAGCAAACCAATAGCACAAGAAACCCTGGCAGCATGAGCCACAATATGGCAATTTAAGACATGGCTTCTAGTAGTATGGAGTAAGTCCAGCTTCTGGGGCTTATTTTGAAAGGTCTACTTTGGGGTCTGGCCTCTCTCTTTCTGCCATTATTGACCAGGAGGTGCCCCTTAATTCTGGTGACTACAGTTCCATGGGACATTTTTGCTCCAGGTCCCTTGGGTAACAGGCTTCCTCTGTATCTGTGTTCTCTGGTTCCCCAGGCTCCCCACTGGCACACAGTTCTCATCTTCAAAGCTTTTTCTCACCTCACCATCTCCAGCTACCATCAGCAGTGGTCACCATAGTCTTATGATGGGTTTTTATTTGCTTGTTTTTTTTCAATTGAGTGTCTTCATTGATCATTTTTGTCTCTCTGTTTGGCGGGCATTTGTAATTTACTCATTAAGCGGTTACTGTATCTTCTCATGTTTACACTGTTATGTTTGGAAGATTTAGCTTACTTTTATTTGTGTGTATGAGTGCAGATCTGTGCTGGGTATGTACACGTGAGTCCAGGTACCTGCAGAGGCCAGGAGAGGATGCTGGATGCCCTGAGCCTAGAATTATAGGCAATTGTGAGCTCCCAAACATGGGAGCTAGGAACTGAATTTGGGTTCTCTATAAGAACAGCAAACATTCTTACCTAAAATATGTCTCTAGACCCACTGATATTATTTTAGATGATAGAGAATGGCAATGAAGCAATGTATTAGGAAAAAAAACCCTCTTTACTATTGTATGATGGGGTTCATCGACTGGGAGCTAATGATGTGAACAAAGGCAAGTTAGCAACATACAAATGAACTTAAATATGTTATATGGAGGTAAGTTCTAATGAGAAAAACAAACACTTGAGGGATATAGTGACTGCAATTTGGCGATATAGAGGACATTCGATTTTTATTTGGTGACAAAAGGAAGAAGTATGAACAAAGAGGTGAGTTGGTACCTGGGACTTTGAGGAAGAGCGGTCCAGGACAAAGAAATAGTTGTGTGTCAAGGGGCTGAGAAGAGCTTGTTGGTGGTGAAATTAGACAGGTGTCTGGTAATAGAAAGCAGAACTTAAAAGGTTTTTAACATTCCTTGAGAAGAAGAAGGCATGTGTGCATACGTTTGTGTGTGTGTGTGTGTGTGTGTGTGTGTGTGTGTACACTTACCAATCACTTGATAATGGTGGTGAAATCTTGCTACTACTGTTCAATAGAAAAATTTAGATACTTCATGCTACTTTGTAGGCATCTTTGGCAAATAAAATTAGTGATAAAAAGTAATCCTTTCTCTATCAAGTTAAAGAAATAAATAGAGGGGGTGGTTATAAATGAATAGTAATCATTGCAAGTATTTATTTGTTGATTTATACCTGCCTTATTCGCTTCCTCCTAAAGTTGCTCAGTCAATATTTTTCTTTTTAAGACAAATGTAAAAGTGCTACCCGCTCTGCAAGAAGGTCAAGGCTTGGGCTCCATGTTGGCTTTGTTTGAGATCTAGTGGTCTCTCCTTAAAAACTCTCTTGCAGACAGCTTAACCTACAGTGAGAAGAATCCGCCTCCCTTCGAGTCACTCATGTGGAGGTGTTTTAAGTCTTGCAAACATTCTTATCTAAAATATGTCTCCAGACCCAGCGATATTATTTTAGATGATAGAGAAAGGCAATGAAGCAATGGATTAGGAAAAAAAAAACCCTCTTTACTATTGTATGATAGGGTTCATCGACTGGGAGCTAATGATGTAGGCAAAGGCAAGTTAACAACATACAAATGAACTTAAATATGTTATATGGAGGTAAGCTCTAATGAGGGGACAGACTTTAACTGATTTCACTTATGATGTGGAATCAATATAAAGCATTTGTTAGATTTTTCTCACGTTTATATTTTGATGTCTGGATGTGCTAAACACATGTCCACTATGATGAGAACCGGAGACAGAAACTGGTTGGGTAGGATAGAGATCCCAAGGCAATAGAGTTCCGGGGGTGTCCCTGACAGAAAACAGGATTGTCAGGAGAGCTCTGGCCCCGTTTCCTTGTTGTCTCTTCTCCTGAGGTGGCACCCTGCCAAGAAGCTACACAGCATAGCGCCTGCTGACACCCATTCCTGGATCTGCCCCTGACACCCAGGAGTTCCTCCTTCTCGCTCTCTCAAGTTTTCACCTATGAATCTACAACGAACCTTCTTCCGCAAACTCCCCCTCTGTGATCCTTGAATTTCGTTCTTCAAAGTTATGAGACAAAAAAAAAAAAAAAAAAAAAAAAACCACTGGTCACTGACCCAGTAGATTTTGTGTGTAATGGTGAGTATCTAATGCCCAAATTCTTCAGCTAAAGTCCACCTGAAGTTAGAGAAAAGGCCTCAGTAAACACTTTGGGTAATTCCATGTCCTACAACCCAATTCCTAAATTAAAGTTCACCTAACACAAAAAAGGGCCTCCATAAAACTTGGTTGACACCCCAGTTCACCCCCCCATGTCTCACTTTAGTTTCTACCATCAATCCTGTAGTGTGTCTCAGATTAGAAGCATGACATTATGCCATCGAGGGAACACCGCCCCCCAGCTACCCAGCATCTCTGCCTTTTTCTATTAAGCTCCACCTATGAATCTTACAATAAAAATTCTTCCTAAAACCCACCCTCTGTGGCCTATGAACTACTCTGTTTGAATCCCCAAGACAAGTTCCTGAAGCCACTTTCTCGGAGGATGATTTTGCATGAGCTAAAGCCCCCATCAGTTGAAAGAGAAGGCGTCCATGGAACTCAGGTGTACCCCTCTTTCTGGTGTTAATTAGAGAAAGCCTGAAATGTATAGTTGGACATTTGAGTGAGAAAAGGGAGGGAGGGAGAGAGAAGAGGAGAAGGGACAGGAAAAAAAAAACGAAAGAGAAAACTGTCCATCCTGATTTGTCTTCACCTATCTCATCCTGTTTTCTACAGTTCGGCTCCATTCCTGAAATCACCATGTAATACTTTCATGGCAACACAAAAACCATTCGAGAGGAATGAGGCTGTGAGAGAGATTAGGATACTATCCCCATTCAGATGTCTGCAGTGATAGGTGGATGGATGGCGTCTTAGGAAGTTACTATGAAGGCTTTTTAATGAGGATTTTTTTTTTATTTTTTCATCTACAGTAAGTGAAAATCCTAAGCATATTTGAAATCACCCTATGATGCAGAATTGTTGAGACTTCATAATCAGAAGGGACTGTTATCAAACTTAGAACTATAGACAACTTAGCTGATATTTCCTAGCAGCAAGTATTCCATTTGCTGTCTATCTGCCATAAATCAAATATGTCTGAGTTCTACCTCAGGGTTCCATGACAAGGTCCCACCTTTCCTACGTGCAAAATGTGTGGAGACTGTTAGGTTTTTGAAACCTGCCCACTGGCAATACTGTATTAGTCCTAATATAAAAAAAAATTACAATTTGCTTTGCAATCAGGGGATCATGAACGCTTTTGCTCCTACATTGATGCAACATTATAAATGTTATAGCCCTAACTTAATTCAGGGTGATAGCATCAAGAGGGGAGTACTAGGGGAATATTATGTCGTTGAGGTTCATAAGTATTTTCCTTCTAAGAG